ATATATATATATATATATATATATATATATATATATATATATATGACTGTCCAGGGTGTACTCTGCTTCTCGCCCGTTGATTACTGGGATATTATGGCATATCTGGCATACAAAATACTGTTAAATGTCATGTGCATGTATACATATAAATATAAATCCATCATATATATATTCATATATATGAATATTATCCTTCCCTTCGTTACTATAAAAAGGAGGCCACTCTGCTGGGGCTGAACTGAGGGTCATTTTGAGTGAGGCACTGGTTTTCTGTTCCTAACTCGTGTCTCAGCTGTGCTCCAGGTTGATGATGATCTCTAGGGGTAAAGAGTGTGAGCTGCTCATCTCGCGATATTTGTCTAAAATCTCGGTAGCAGTTCCCTACACTCAAGGAGGAACAAATAACTTGACGGGTGGAGTGTGTGCACACCGCTGGCAGTGATTCTGCAACTTTCTGAAGAAACCAACCTCGAACACTAAGAGTGCGTATAGTTTTCTCGCGACGAGAAAAAAGAACTTATCAGCTCTCATAGTTAAACGGGTGAGTAAGAAGTGTGCACGGCTCGGTTAGCCACCTCGGGGCAGAAAGTCGTTCGGTGGTCGGCGGTTGGTTCTGCAGGAATGTCGCAGAAAGAGAGAGCCGGCTTTTACCGTCAGGAGGTCAACAAGACGATATGGGAAGTGCCGGAACGGTACCAGAACCTGTCCCCGGTTGGATCTGGCGCCTACGGATCCGTTTGGTAAATAACTTTTTCTGTAAAGTTGAGTTACGTGAAGCATGCAGACTGTGGTCATTTGACTTCATCTCCATTCATTTTGACGAGGCCTGTGCACCAGCCGCTGCTAAAGTTAGGTTAGCTCTGTCGGATGGCTGCTGGCTAACAAGGTGGAGTCTGGTATCTTTAAACAGGAAACATATGCTCTTTTCTGTTAGATATGATCGGCTGCTCAAAGCTCTTCTGAACTCACTTTTCCTGTTGTTAACACGTCATCGGGTGTAAATGTCTTACCTCCGATGACAGAACTTTTGAAAAAGTAAAACTCATTGTTTCAAAAGTTGATCTGAACGTGAGATTACTGAATGACCTACATTTTTATTAACATGCAATCCTGTAGCTGCTGATCAGACTCCCCAAATCTTCTCTGATTTTATGCAATTCTCTGGTACTCTGGTTTACATTACCAGACTAAGTCTTTTAGGATAGATGATGATAATAATGAGGATACATTAACATTTTAAATAGTTGCTTAATATATCTATATAATATATATATATCTAATGTGACTATAATGGCCTGTTTTTTTTTACACTAACATTCATTCTGTATCTTTGATCTCTTATAGTGATGCATTTATCAAGTGTATCACATCAAGAATACAATAACAGTTCCAAATCATACATCTACTGTGGCCACACAAAAAATAAATCAAACTTCTCTTAAAATAATTGTCATTTGATGAGTGGATTGGTTAAAAGTCTTGAAAATTCAGTGTTATTTAACATAAAACAGGTCCTCAGAGAATGTTCTCAGTAAACATTTGGGAGATGCACTTGCATTTGCAAAACTAGAAACATTCACTCTTGCTGTAAAATAAATAATAGGGATGGGGAGGACTTTCTTTCTGCTTCTTGGTATAGAAAGGTACACTTTCACAGGAAGGATTAGTACCATTAAACGGTTTGTTCTGATATTGTGTGGAGCTAGACGACTGAGCACTTGGTTTAGTGAGCAGATGTTTGTTTTGCAAATGGATGAGAACAGCTGGCCTGTTGCTGGGCAATGGGATAATCTGTTGCTGCCTGGATTACTGGGCAGCATATTGAGTGTTTGTTTTTTTCATATTGACATAAATTCATAGTTTTCCACATCATGACTTTTCCTGGACAATGTTACTATGAATTTAATGAAAGTCGAATCAGTCACATTTTCTTTGGTTTTCAGATTAATAAAGTTTTTTCCCCAATTTATTGCTTATGTATTTATATCATCTTATAAGCAAGACTGAAAGACGTATTGTCTGATCATGAAAAACACAATGAGGATACAGACAGGGGCAGAGGGTAAATTCAACACATTTTCCACATGTTATCTTATTTTTAGGGATAGTACTGTCATTTATATTGGCAGATGTCTATGGAAAACATTGTTTCAGTGGAAACTATGTGAAATTATTTGAATGATTCCAGGTCTTTATGCGCTGGTTTAATTCTTAAATGCTAAGAAAAGGCACTTCAGAGCTCATCTCTTTATACTTTATACCAAAAGACAAGACAAGATCAGAACAGGCAACACCATTACACAGTTAGTCACAGCAGACGGGCAAAGGGACAGCAACTCAGGGCATTCACAGTGTCTGTTATGTATGAATTTAACCACTGCATAATACGTCTTTCTAATTGGGTTCACATGGAGGCTACGAAGCTGACAGACTGGACAATTATTTTAGCTTAATGGCCAAAATCCTTGCTCGGGCTGAACACTTAGAATCATTGCTGTGTTGTGCGTCCAGTATCACTTTTAGTGGTGTATTTATTTCTCATTTAGCCGTACGTGTTTATGGTACGAGTACATCTGGAAAAGCGGCTAAGTTTAGGTTTTATTGGTCCTTGGAAATGGAGTTTTACGGCAGCAGACAAATTACGCTGACACATGTCGCATATTTCTCTAACCCTGTACAAGTGCACTTTTAATCTCTAGTCCTTATCTATTCCTCTGCGTAGCTTTCTTTGATATCATTGTCAAGGTGAGAAAGTTTCAGATACAAAGTAGAGCAAACCCGAGTAGAGCGTTTGCCTGCCGCCCAGGTGATGCTGAGGAGGTGTCTGATCCCGGGGTGCTTTCCACCAGCACTGACGGGTGAGCTGCAGAGTGGGGCATGTTTTAGTTCAGAGACAGTGAACCATCAGGGAGGAGGACATCTAGGACTGCTTGCCATTTGCTGAGAGATGACTTTTCTTTCTGCTGATACTGCCCTTTCCTTAGCCAGCAGCTCTTACTCCACCTAATTTGGTTTTGAAAGCAAGCTCAGCTAAGTCTAGGCTGTATGAAGGGCTTCAACTCCTCAACCTGGAAAGGACATGCCTGCTTTTACAAAGTTGATGTTCAAAATGTGAAGCTAATGTCTGTCACTGCAGGGCTTCGATCATGGGAATGAGAACATAACGATCTTTTTAATCAGAAATATATGAATAAAAAAAACTAGTCTTGTTTTACTGACAGACAAAGTAAGCCAGTGTTTGCCTTCCCTCCAACAGCTCTGCAATTGATATGGTGACGGGATTGAAGGTCGCTGTGAAGAAGCTCTCTCGTCCCTTTCAGTCGATCATCCACGCCAAAAGAACGTACAGAGAGCTGCGGCTGCTCAAACACATGAAGCACGAAAACGTGAGTGGAAATGGAAACACTTCCTGGTAAATGGGCTGAAATGCTGTCGGTGCAGCATCTCCATGATGCCGTTCTGTCTACCCAACATGTTTTAGTTGGAATGTAATGTTTGGGTTTCTTGCAGGTTATTGGCCTCTTAGATGTCTTCACTACTGCCACAAGTCTGGAAGAATTCAATGATGTGTAAGTCAGATTTTCTCATTTAGACTTTTTGCCATGAACACAAGTTTCCCCCTCCGTGTCCTTTCAGCTCACCACGTCCACATGTGTATACTTTTAGCAGCCCTGATGTTAACGCTGCCCTCCGTTTCTCGGCAGTAGACAATTTAACTGTGGCTGGAAACCACCTGGAAACAGGCCAACAGACCAAACACACTGGAATGCTTTTCAGACGGTCCAGTCTGTTACTTATTCACTCCTTGGCTGCTACTAGAGTTATTTCATCACCAGATTCTTCTCATACGTTTGCTGAAGCCTGGCTTTAGGAAAGGTGGAGCATCCACTCTGCAAGTGGAAAGCGGGTAGTTATTGCTCGTTTGATGTGGAATGTTCTCAGTCGTGGAACATGGACTTCCAGTCAGTCCTCAGTCCTCTCATGTGACTTCCTCCTTTGTGCCTCTCTCCTGATGATGTGCAGTTTTTAGTGGACACCCAACATAAGAATGTGCCTCAGCCGACTCACCCGTTTTTATTTTGGAGTTTTACACCTTTTTTTTTTCCCTCCACATGCGAGCAGTAAAGCTTAAGAGAGAACAGATATTTGAAAAGAACAAAAGTGGGTTGCGTTAGTGTTTAGGGCGCACCACTGGGCTTCCTGCAATGTAACTGTGGAAATTGCAAGCGGTGCTTTGTAGAGATCTTCATGTTCTCGGCGCAGAATAGAATTTGTACATGTGTCTCTTTGTCTCGGGACTCAATCTGTGTTGCAGAATGTTGAAAAACACTTAGGCAATCTGTCAGTGGTTAGTCTGGGTTTCCCCCAGGAAATGGCCTTGTTGGGGTGGTTTGTCTGAGAGGTTCCTCTCATCAGTTTAGGTGGCTGATGGGAGTCTAAACTATTTTCAAAACCAGCCAGACTCCCTAAAATAATGCATCTGGAGTTGCAATCACTCATTGTACCTGCTTCAAAGTTAAAATCTGGTGGCTCAGTGACAGACAATTTCCCGACCCTTTACAGAAATGCTCATGAGAAGGCTGGTGTGGGCACAGGCCCCCTGAAATGACTCACAACACCCACGACTCACTTTTACTGCCAAGTGTGAAGAGTTCACTGATAGAGAAAGCCGGTGCTCATGTCCCATGTTCGGCACCGGGGTGTCGCCCCTCCAAATCTGACAAATATTTAAAGAGAACATTTGGTATGACATGCGTCTTTATGACTTCTTCAGACCTGAAACATTCCTCAGGTCTTAGACACGCTGCTGTATTTATGGGTAACCGGCATATTTTGGGGAGTCCCCAGAGACGGCACTGGCTGGGAGCGATGCCTCAGCCTCTGTCGGAGTGACACTCTTGTTTCATTTTGGGTCACGTTAACGGAAGGTTTTGACGAGGAAAGCAAATTCATGCGACATTCAAGCGCTCAGGAACTCTGCCTCTCTCTCACCCGTTTTCTCTGACTGTGTTAAGCGGCACAATTACACGGCAGCTTTATGGAAACGCTGCAGCGTTTCTCACTCTGTCAACGGCAGAGACTCGGCTTACTGTTGCAGTGGAGGGTTTCTGGCCCAAGAGGCCCCACCCTCCTCCAAGATTAGCATGATATCATGTCGGTCTGAAGGCAAATACAAGGTCACACGTGTAGACTCGGCTCCTGTGGCAAAGCGGCAGAGGGCGTGTGACTAAATAAGCAGGTTGGTGTGACTTCGGTGCAGCATGAAGGAAAAATCTCGGGCATGCAGGTGCTCTAAGTTTGGACTCCCTCCACTCTATAAATAATAGCGACTCACAACACAGAGGCTGAGCCTCCTTAGTGCTCCAGTCATCCCCCTGAAAACAAGGGCTCACTATTTATATAGCATTTTTCCAAGTCGGGTTAACTTTGGAGAGAGCTTGTTTCACAGTGTGTGCTGCTGGAAACAAGTTCAGCACACCGTTGCTATTTTAAGCCCTGCTCTCTGCACTCTGTGGGAATATTCGAGGATTCATGAAGTGGGTATTTGGTGAGCAGCAGACTGCCGAAGCAGCGCCGAGAGCATCCTACCATTCATCTTCTTCATGCTGTTTGGGTGTTTCAAACAGCTCAGCCATTAGATTAGAATTATTCACTGGTGCAGTGGTGTTTGGCCCATTTATCTGCATGTTTGTTAATTGACATTCCATTTGATAAGGGCTTGGCTTTTTAGTGCCCCCAGAGAGAACTGAAAATGAAAAAAGAGAAGCCATATAACCGGTTTAAGCTTCTGCCTGCAAATGGGGAATTAGCTTCAGGCTGCAAACAACAATGCTGAATTGGTTCAAAAGTTAAGACATATATTAATATAAGATGCTGCTGTATTTGTAGTTTGTTTAAAACGGATATCTTATTAAATTATTTTGTTGTTCAAACTCTGCCTTTTGTGACTGACAGGTATCTTGTGAATCATCTAATGGGGGCAGATCTCAACAACATTGTGAAATGTCAGAAACTCACAGATGACCACGTACAGTTCCTCATATACCAGATCCTCCGAGGATTAAAGGTGCGGTTATTTGTGGGGGGGGGGCTTTTTTTCTATGTGCTCACTCACTTGATTTTCCTTTCATTGGTCTGGATTGGTCCAGCTTAATTTTGCTGTTACCTGCTTACACCTGGTCTCCACCTCAGCCCCCGAACTGTTCCGCTCTCAGCACTTTCACACCCTCCATCTGCGTTATTGTGGCTGAAGCTGGTTTCACTTCTTTGTTTTAAGTGTACATTCAGACTGAAGGCCCATTTTATTGTTTACAAATTGTCTCCTGTTGTTAAACCGCAACAGTAAAAGTGTAATAGTGTTGGTACTGATTATATGCATCTTACTTGGTAAGGAAATCCATGTCTGTACAACCTTTTGTTGAAGTCCATAGGGAAAAAACAAGTGTGGTAGTTTTTCTGTCTTCAGTTTTTTTTTTTTTGTAAGGAAGGGAATAAGTGCTACTTTCAGCTGCTCTTCCAATGTTCCCGTGAGAGGAGTCAGTAGATTTGACCTTTTGTTGAAGATCAATCTAAACTTATGTGGATTTCTGTTTTTCTCTGCAGTACATCCACTCAGCAGACATCATTCACAGAGTAAGTGTTGTGATTGATTTTCCTTTTTTCTCTCTGATAAATGTCATGCTGTCTTTGACTCCAATCTAGTCAGAAAATGTGTGTCAAGGTTAATAATCTTCCACTTGGCTGTGCCAAGCTATTGAACATGGTGTCGAGAAGGAAAGTAATAAAATTAAAAACTCCTCAGTTTTTAACTGAGGGGAATATCTGTTTTCATCTGTCGGAACTTGAATTATTCAGAGAATGAGTGCAGGAGTAATGTCAGTGACCCTCACCTGAACTTGACTCTGCACCATTTTCCCTTTATTCCCCCCCCCCCCCCTGCAGGATTTGAAACCCAGTAATTTGGCTGTGAATGAAGACTGTGAGCTGAAGGTCAGTTCACTTTTATTTTTGGACACATTATTATTGTGCAGTTAGGGATATTTTAATCACAAGGCAACCTTTGTGCACTTAAACTGCTGTCAGATTTTGGACTTTGGTTTGGCGCGACACACCGATGATGAGATGACCGGCTATGTGGCGACCCGGTGGTACCGTGCCCCCGAGATCATGCTGAACTGGATGCATTACAACATGACAGGTAGGTGTCAAAGAAAGGCTCCGTTTTAACCTCCGTGCTTCGGTGTTTCATAATAGATGGGTGTTTGTCATGTTGATGTCCTGCCTCTGTGTTTCAGTGGATATTTGGTCAGTGGGGTGTATAATGGCAGAACTTCTCACTGGAAGGACTCTGTTTCCTGGCACAGACCGTATCCTTTAAAGAATTCCCCACTGTCCGTGTTCTGAAACACAATTTGGAAAATCAAATCAAAGAGTCGAAGAACAACGGGGGTACTGATTTCTGAGGTTTTGCCACCACCGCAGAGAATGATCTGCAGCGCCTCTCTTCTGCGTCTCCTCATGAAAACTTGCTTTTCTCCTCAGCCAACACGTTGTTGCCTGAGGCGTTTTTCCTTTCAGAGATTCAATGCTGATATGACAGCATTTTTCCACTCTTTTTTTCCCCCACAGCTTGACTCATAACCTTTAAGTAATATTTCCACTTCTCTCCTGTTGGTGTGTATTGTTGTACTGGTTAAGGTCCACTCCCTAGGTGGATGTCAGTTGGTCATTATGCGTGTGAACGCAAATGCCAGTGCTGAGTTTCTACTTCTTTTTAACTACCAGTATAAACAACCTCCTTTGCTCCACAGGTTACATAAATATAACTGAATCTGTCACAGGATCTCTAATTGAAAGTTAAACAGGAGGTCAGAATCCTGATCTTCCCCGGCTCAGCACCTGCTCTTCCTTCACTGTATGCTGCTAGACATTGATCAGTTGAAGCTAATCATGATGCTCGTCGGAACACCTGGGCCAGAGCTCTTGATGAAATTATCTTCAGAGTCTGTGAGTTCTCAAAGATGTGCCAGGATTTGGTGCTGTCGTTCTCTACTTGCCGCTCTGATCTGCAACAACTTGACAGTTCTGCTCTCTGAATGACAGCATGTTTTCCTCCCTTCCGACCTGTCAAATTGAGACTTTCCCTCTGCACGTTTAAACAAAAGACTTAAGTGTTCTGTGTGATACTGTTGTGGTAAAAAGACGTCCTGACTGTTTCTGTCCTCTGAATCGAAGAGTGCCCTCTCGTGACTTTGTCACATTTTGCTTCAAAGCTTGAAGCTTGCTTTTCAGCGTAACATTGTCGTGGCCCACAAGTTTAGTCACACAATGTTAGGTTGAGAAAAAAAGCTTCTTAACCAACTCTGCTCTGTCGCTATACTCCCCTTGACAAGCTTCCTAGATATAAACCAGCTTCAGCAGATAATGCGTCTGACAGGAACGCCCCCAGCAAATCTAATAAACAGGATGCCCAGCCACGAGGTGAGCAGGTCCCACCAAAAACAAGAGGGCAGGAGATATTGCTACGGTTTGACTCCCCGCACAGCTCTTTCTTCAGTGTCCTGTATAGATGTGGAGTCACTGACAGTTTTTCAACATTAAATCCAGACATCGTTTTTATATCTTTAGTTTTAATCAGTCTGTATAAGCAGCACCATATAAATAAATAAAATGTATTCCACATTATGTGTGTATCAGAGAGGCAGAATCAAAGAGTTAAAAGCCATGCTAAAGAGTGTTGAGTTTCTAGTGGAGACCACGTGAATTTTTAGACATTTTCTGAGCTGGGAGCAAGGCTACTTGTGACCAGAAGCCAAAGTTAAACATTCATGGTTGATGGTTACAGCTTAATAGTGTCTGCTGCATGACTTTAACAGCAATGCGCACCAGCTTGTTTTAAAGCTCGCAGTTTTAAAATCGCAAGGCTTGCTTCTCTTTTATTATTATCACTAACACAATATTGATTGGAAGATGAATTTCTATATGGTTTTTGGCTCTGTATCCTTCCTTTCATAACTTGCTTATGTCTGTCTGTTTCAAAACCTTTTTAGTAGTTTTTTTTAATACATTTTGTTTCTATTTTATACCTCATAATTCATTTTCTATTCAAACTGACCATTTCTGATAGTTATCTTTAGGACCGAAACATTCTTATTTGAATTTAATTATGAAGGACATGGAGTAATGAAACCTACTCGCTGAAGGGCATTGTTCATGATAAACCTTTGCATGTGTACGTCTAAACTTCTCTTCTGCGTAAGATTACACGTGCCGTTGATAATTTCCCATGTCACCAGCATTTTTGCATTTTTGTTGTGGGTTAATACCTGCCCACAGACCTGAGAGCAAACCTGCTTCGGTAAAAGCTTCTGACTCCCTCTAGCCATGTCACTCGGTTTAAAATGAATAAAATCTGTGTTTTGCAAGTTCACACAAGAAATGGTTTCAAATCCGGTCCACACAGATTTAAACTGAAAATGTTCACAGTTTGATGTCTGAAATAAGCCCATAATTGGCTTGTTCAAGTTGATATATTATTTATTTAATGGGCCTGAAAGAGGCATGCCTATTGCTACATCTATCTATTCAATGACGATTCATAAAGATTTTATTCCTTCAAAGGTTTGTGGCTCCTGGTGAGGGTTAAAAACAACCTCCATTTAAAAAATGGAGAGAATATGCATGCGTAAGCATCTTCATTTTTCTGCAGTCATGCACAACATGACAGAGAGGCCATTGGTGTTAGCAGCAGGTGGGCCATCAGAATAGTGCTTCTGCACCGACAGGCTCAGGTTGTGAGATGAGTGCTCTGCTTATTTTACTAATCTCGCCATCTGGATCTTGAAAACATATTTTTGTCACAGCGCATGCCACTTATGCAAACAAGCCCTCAACATAGCTACATAAATGTTTTAAGAGACTCCATCCCCAACAAGGACCTTCTTAAGAGACAGCAGATGAATAACATTGTATACAGGTACAAAAATAATCCCGACATGGTGACGCGCAATACACCGACTTACAATAAAAAATGTAACATAAAAACGGAACTAGTTTAAAATCTCATGCAGAATTGAACGAGACAAAAAGCAACTCTTGATATGTTCTAATATGAACAAAAGTGAAGCCACCTAAAGAACTGATGCCCTGAATCAGCTCAGTGAGGAACGTGTAGAAGGATTGGGGATGGAATTATCATGTACAGCTCACCTGCTCTGTGGAACAGGTAAAAAGAGACGTTTACCAAAGTTTTGACAAATTGATTTTAGATTCTGACATAAAGATTGGTTTACAGTGAGGTGGAGACAGAATGTCAGCATAGCCACTTTGCTGGATTCATATAAATGATAATCTACTACACTGGCAGTCAAATGTAATAACCAGGCGCTGATTGCTTGATGCGGTTGAACACAGAGGGGAAGTATGAAATGACATGCCGTGGCCTGTTGCCATCAGTTCTCACGTGTTTGCTTTTTTTCCCCGCTCATTTTCTCAGGCTAGAAATTACGTGAGCTCCTTGCCACAGATGCCCAAGAGGAACTTTGCTGATGTATTCATTGGTGCCAACCCACTTGGTAATGCAAGCAGTAAAAAAAAAAAAAAAGGAAAAAAAAGTATTTGTGATTCAATACAGTAATTCTTTTTTTTCCTTTGAATATTTATTTTGAATGTTTGCTTTCAAGCTGTGGAACTTCTGGAGAAAATGCTGGTTCTGGATACGGATAAGCGGATAACAGCTGCCGAAGCTCTGGCCCACCCGTACTTCTGTCAGTACCACGACCCAGACGACGAGCCCGTGGCCGAGCCGTACGACCAGAGTTACGAGAGCAGAGAACTTGAGATAGATGAGTGGAAACGTACGTCGCCCTTGCCTAAAGAACTGACAGATTTGAATGGTTTGTTTTTCTTGCAGTTATTCTGATTTCATCAAACGTTCTTCTTTCTCGCAGGTTTAACTTACGAGGAGGTGTGCAGCTTTGTGCCGCCAATCTTTGATGAGGATGACATGGAGTGATGAGCTGAGCTTCCCACGCCAGCACAGCCCTCTAACATGTGCATTAGTGTTAGACTCTCAGGCACACATCCTACTGCCTATCAGCCTTTCTCAGTCTTTATTTCAGTAAGAATTGTCAATGTTTAACGGAGGAAATCATTACCAGCACGAAGAAAGTGAGAACGGAAAAAGCTTTTATTATCTTTATTTATGAACCACTTATCTTAATGGGCTATTGCTGGGAAATGCAACCTATTGCCAATATCTGAATGATCTTGTATCATTGAAAACAAAACATGTAAACTTGGATGACTCATCACTGTGACACTGAGATGCTGAAACACGTGATCCTTTAGCTGTGCTACTTTGTGTTTAGTAATTTATAAGCTTTTTTTTATTGGTTGAAAAAAAAAAAAAGAATATGCTGGTCTACCCCACACCTCGCCAAGCTGTAACATACAGCACTCAGACACTTTTAATCAATGTGATTCTTGGATTTGAAAAGCAACTAAATGGAAGGGTTTCATTTGATACAGAAGCAGATTTTATATTTTTAGATTAGATTAATTTGTGGTGTGCTTGTTCTGTGTGATGTTGACTTTTATTGCACACCAGCTGAATCTCACAAATGTAAACATTTATTCTTATAAATTAGATAGCCTGTGAAACTCTTACACAGTACAACCTGAGCCTCTGCTGGTCAAAGATGCTTTTCATTAAGGCACCATGGGAGGGGAAGGAATGATTTTTCTGGGTGTGTGCTCTGCTTATGAATGTGTAAATATCTGTGCCATGCTTTTCAAATTGGACATTTTTTAGCTATAAAGCAACCAATGTTTGCATGTTTGTGAAGACGGTGTGTGACGCAGGTGTGTTTTTGGTTTACAAAGATTGTACGCGTCATACAATAACCTATTATCAATACTGCGTAACTGTTTTAAAGAGGGATTTGTATTTATACTGTGTGGAGCTATTCTTTATAAGCAACAATCGAAAGATCCCTTGAAGTATTTTTCAGTACTGCAGAATACCTGCAAGCTCCAGCCTTTTAACAAAATAAAGACTTATTTTTAAAAGACTCCTTGGACTTATGTTATTTCAAACTAGTGAATTATGCTTCATCTCTGTGATTTAATATGTGTAGATATATATATATATTAACCAATACACCTCTGGCCTTTCAACTAATGCCATGTTTCCTCTGGCACACTAGAAACTGCAGCCAACATGAGTAATAGATATAACAGAAGAAAAAGAGAACAGCTGTATAAATGTATTGGTTAGATGCTTATTCCCTTTCGCAAAGTCCTCCTGCACATATCTTTTGGGAATTGAGGCAAATCAGCACGTCCAGACAAGTAAATATCATTTTGAGGAGGCTTTGAAATGTAATATTGTATGGCATATTATTAGATGTAAAAACTAAGTATCTCAATCTAAGGAACCCAGTGACAAGCAGACTGTAATATACACCCCATAAACAGTGCAAGGATTTTGTACACACATCTTTATAAACTTCAGGAAACATATACATGCAAGCTTCTTTCATATTCTGCTGGAATAAGAGAAGAATCCTTCCCCAGTCATGATTCAAACCCGTAAATTCACCTTCAAGCTAGTCTTTTGCTATCTGCACTACATTTGATACCAGTAAAATCCATTAAAAACAGGATTGATTTATAGTGGATACGTCACTGGGGAAGATTTCCTTTACCGAAACGATCCAACGCGCATGCGTGAACATTCGATCATTGCCGGAGTAGCTAACGGCTAGGCTACGAACCCTGCCGACATGGAGAGGAAAGGTAAATCTTTACGCGACACCCCTCATACTCCTAATGTAAAGTTAGTCAGTGCATCTGAGTACTTAGGGTTCAGGGTCTATGCGGTGTCCCAAATGTATTTTTATGAGTTTGCACGTACAGGGATATGTGATTTGATTCAGCGCGTCAGTCACGCACTGAGCCGGAGCCGTCTACGTTAGCCTCATAGACATTAGCTTTAGCCAGAGTGAGACTTGTCAGGATTAGCGCAATGCCTTTAGCTTTCTTCCTCTCTGTATTTTAACTACAACTCAAACTGCCGACTGTATGACGGATGTGTGGTGTTGAACATTAGCTTGAAATCCGAGCCAGGGAATTTTTTTCAGCCCACATTTGCGTCTTGTAGAGAAGCGGTTGCCTTAGTGGGTAGCTTAGTGATGTTACTAAATGGGGTACCAGTGACCGGGAGATCCACAGATACAGTGTAAATAAAGATTTACATGCGGGGAGCCGCAAAGACGACATAATTCCATGCGTGGGGAACTTGTTGATACCATAGAGGGGACGTTAGTGGGATGATGAGGCTCAGTTTCATGCTTTTGCATTGAGTCAGCTGCAGATCAAAAGGCAAGCAAACAATAGAGACACATTTTCTCTGTGGTTTCTTTTCAGTTCTGGCACTCCAGGCAAGGAAGAAACGGGGGAAAGCCAAAAAGACCAGCAAAAAGTGAGTTTTTTTTAATCCTCGAGTCCAGCCTCCCGTCTCAGCTCGGTCTGCAGGATGGCCTCCTCAGAGGCTGTTTTGTGCCAGCTGTGTCCAGCTGAAGGTGGCTGTTAGTGTCTGCTTCACACATCTGCTGATGCTTCATGGTCCGTGTGGTGATGGTGACTGAGTGCACTCGCTTGATGCAGACTGTCACAGAGATCGTGATCGTAACCGAATGCTGCTCACATACTTTATTATGGTTCTGTGCAGGTGCCATAGATGGTATAGAAACACAGTCTGATCACTGTATATAAAACACGTTTTTCCCCATTTTGGCATGACGGCTGAATGCACGTTAATGGATTGATTTAAATGGCCCGTACGTATGGCCGTGATCTGTAGGACTCATCGTTTCGGTTTACCTAACAATGTACTAATCATGACTGTACCAGTGGCATCCTTCTGAGTGTTATGTAACAGTCCGTGCTATATTTAAAGCAAGAGCACGAAGAAGCCCACATCAGCCCACTGAAGCATGGTGTTTTACTGAAAACAGTGCTCTTGAAAATACGTGCCATCTTGTCCTCGTTGCATTAGCCTTTACAGCCATACCATTCTGCAAATCGAATATGCATTCAATCAGTCCCATCCATGCATCCATGCATACAGTAAACAGCGGGGCTGACTTGCATTTTGGACATGGTGGAGTGATCAGGTAAAATGTCCCAATCAGTTGTGAAGGTAAATGTCAGTGCAAGACTCTCAGGCTTTGAGTAAACAAGGACGCATGCATATGCTTTGTGAGGAACATGCATATGTCGGTGAGTTTTGAGGATTTAAAAAAAAAAAAAGTAATTTGTTCACTTCTTTAAGTGAAACTGTGGCGTGCACAAAGGAGGCCACAACAGCTTTGGGTCTGAAACTGCCGACCTTTTGGAGCGCAGCTGCCTGGTTTTAGAAAATAATTTGACTTGTGTTTCACCTGCTGTTTGAGCAGCTTTATCCTCCACTGTGGGGAAGTAACGCGAGGCTGTTTGGCTTTCAAGTCAATATTGGGAACTGAACTGAATATGCATGTACACATTGGTGGCTGGGCTAGAAAATGTTCAGTTATTCAAGGCACTCGGATCTCATAAGTTTATTCCATTGGCTGCTTTGTTCTGCAGCCGTGGAAAAAAAAAACTGCTCGTGCCTGTTTGAGAAAAAGTCATGCCACGATCAAGCAAATTAATAAAATAAGGTAGAAGAAAAATATTGCTCGGTATTTATAAATGCTGTGCTCCCACCCCACACTATTTTATCAAGGTATTGATACAATTTTAGCTTTTATGAATGCCATTAATCTTATTTTCTTTACCATTTTGATATAGTCCTAAAGCGTCATTTCATGCAACTTCTGTTCATCCGACTGCGAACAAACTTGTTTCTGTCATGTATCAACAAGCACTGCCGAATCTCTGTAACATTTTGTAACGTCACTCAGTCGAACATAATCTGGTTTGCAAATGACCTCATTAAAGTTTCCTTTTGTTTTTCAGCTTTCTCAACAAAAACTTTAATTTCTTTGCTTGGCAGTTTGAATCAAATAAGTGAGAGGATCTAGATTCGTTAAGCGTGCGAACACGAGCTAAGAGCACAGTAACAAGCCCTATAAAAGCCGCCACTGTTCTGATCCGCACTATACACATTTGAAGCTGTTATCAATTTTTTAAAGCAAAGGGACAGGTGATGAGAAAACCGTGCTACAGTTTGTCATCTCAAACACAGCTGTCGGGGCAGATTCTTCTGGCAGATCTGAGAAAAACCTATGGTTATATCACAGGCTGGATAAAGTTTAACATGGAACTGAGTGATACTTTGAGTGCTTTTATCCACCAATGGGGTGTTTGATACACTCACAGCATACCGGCCCTGCTGACATATGTTACATGTTTTTGTCTTGAGCACTTCAGCGATCTAATTTGCAAACTAATAGAATCAATCTTGTGTGTTATGGATGCGTTTGTGGGACATCGTTGCACTCAGTGGGACAAATTCAAATTGAAATGCGCAACAGATCGGAATCTCTGGCCGCCGTCGCAGGCCGTTGTAAATACTGCTAAATGGTTTGTCTCGAGTGAACTGCTTTGTTCCGCAGTAATTAAATAGAGTGTGACTTCACAGTCCTGATTGAAGTCTGCCTTATTTTTCCATTAGGCAGCCAGCCAATCCTAGATCCCGACAGCAGCCCCGGCAAGAAGCTTCACCTCAGGAACCCGAGGAACCTGAGGAAATTCTCGGCTCAGATGACGAAGAGCAGGAGGACCCCAACGATTACTGCAAAGGTTAGTGTCCTAGATCCTCCCCGTAGGCCTTCCCCTCTGTTTTGCAAGGATAAAGCGCCCCATTTTGCTGGGAGAACAAATTGCAGTGCTGGTTAGAGACACAGCCAAGTCTGGGCCCATGTAGCACTAATGTGCCTAATTTAAAAGAAAACAATCAACGATGAGCTAAGAGGAGGTTTAAACGATAGACTAGCATGATGTTGTTTTTCCCCTCATTTTCTGTAAAACCACTACAAGTTGATTACGAAGAGAGCAGAAACAACTTCCTGTGTAAAACAAAGGGGGAAGACCAAGAGAATAAATCCTATTGAACACACCTGAATAGAACTGCACTTACCGACTTTAAAAAGGAAAAGAAAAATTGCATATAAAATGATCGCACTTGTCTATAAGCTGCAGTAGACCAAGTTGTCACATGAGATATTTACACAATAATAAAAAAAGAAAACAACTTCATTGAATATGCACCGGTAGCATACACAAATTCATAGTGTAAATGCATTTTTCTGACCTGTCTCATTGGTCTGGTGCAACGAGGCATAATGTTTTGATGGCATAAAGCTTGTTACACTGTTTTGTTAGAATTTAACTGTGTAATTATTGTACATATTCTTGTCGTCTAGGTGGCTACCACCACGTGAAAGTAGGGGACCTTTACAATGGGAAATACCACGTCATCCGTAAACTGGGATGGGGACACTTCTCCACCGTGTGGCTGGCCTGGGACATCCAGTATGTTGCATACTGAGCAGCTAACACATGCTGCCCTGTATTGTCTTTTTCTTTAGGGCTGATGTTAAGATAACATACATGATGACAGCTGCTTTTTTGTGCTTTTTATGATATGATCGTTTGTGTTGCTTCCTGTTTGCAAACAATTCTTGGTCTGTGGTCGCAGGGTGAAGAGGTTTGTTGCAATGAAAGTGGTGAAGAGTGCAGAGCACTACACAGAGACGGCAGTGGATGAGATCAAACTTCTTAGATCTGTAAGTTACAAAGGGAGCGTCAGAAGGCACATTTTTAGCTGGAACATTTTATTGATCTGCTGGTGTGTATCGGCGACACAGATGTGCTGAGTGGACACAAACTGTGTTACACAGCATACCATGGACAGGTCGATTTAAAAAAAATCTTGGTACTACTGAAGCCATGTTACTGACAAACAGAACCAATCACAGAAGTGACAGCTTGCAGACATTAAAACACACATATTGCTCCAGTTCTGGTGTGATGCGTGTTTAGTAAAACATAACCCATGAATGTTTTTTTTGTTTTGTTTTTTAAACAAAGCTCTCATTTGTTACCAGGTACGAAACTCTGACCCCGTCGACCCTAACCGTGAGATGGTGGTCCAGCTGCTAGACGACTTCAAGATCTCTGGTGTCAATGGAACTCGTATCCTTTTACAGCCCAATATCTCCAAGGCGCTTTTTGCTTTATGACTCACATTTACACGGTAAATGATTTCGATATTTTTGAAAGAGGGTTCTGTTTTTTTTAATTTAGATTATTTCATTTTTTTGGTCACATTTAAGTAAAAAGCAGCTTTCAGGTAACACAGTAAAAAACAGGTCATGTGTGGGACAAATGGAATCTTGTGGGACACAAACAGGCCTCGACCTATCGCCACACGCTGGCTGAGTGGGATCCCCTGAATGCCATAGGGATTGCTGGAGCTGTAACACGAGAGTCCCTCTCTTCAGTATAAATAATGCTCTGCCTCATGTAGGTGAATGACCACACGTTCCCAGGATAGTTCTCTCCCTTTGGGTTTTCAGTTTTACTTGCACCACTTTATTATCTTAACTGCTCATCTTCAGATGTGTGCATGGTGTTCGAGGTGTTGGGACATCACCTGTTAAAATGGATAATAAAGTCCAATTACCAAGGCCTTCCTCTGCCCTGTGTGAAGAGCATCATAAGACAGGTAACAGGAGACCTGCAGTCTCACCTTTTCAGGGCCAGTGACTCATGATAAAGTCTCAGTTTTCTCTCACAATACCGAGAACTGCGCTGCCTCCAGGGTGTGGAAAAGGTGGAAACCAGACGAGACAGAGCGTGTTGTGGTAACCGAACATATAAACAGTGATATAATCTGTAAGGAAGTCCTGTCATGTAACAAGTGTTCACATGGAATGGATCTTTTACATGGGTGAACAGAGAACCGATTAAGTTAATATGTATTTAGTTTTAAGAGTGCATTAAAACAAGCATTATTTTTGGACCGAGTTTAAATGTTGTTTTGTTCAATTTACAACAAACGTGAAATATATTTAATGCATTCGCTTAAACTTCTTTGACTTTTTTGACATGCGCTCTGTCTTGGCTTAGTGTTTTAAGATGTGTGTAGAATTGTGAGGGAAACTTACAGAAACAATGGAAGGGAAATCAATCATTAAAGGGTTCAGTTTTAATGACTGATTGAAAATCTGAAAACCTGATCTTCTTGAAAATCACGAAAAACCTTTCCTCTTTACTTTGGCTATGAGATCTCTACACAAACAAAAGACGGTTTTGTGCTCACTGTCATTATTTTATTGAACATTTCTTCTTCATCGCACTAACATTAGAAATCGCTCTTGGATGCTGTTGATTTTCCAACCAGACACAGAACCCACATTGTACCAGCTGTGTTGGAGCAGGAATGCTTTCACAGACAGCGGATTTAAAACTCTTCTACACTCCCAAATACAGATAGATTCACGAGGTGCTCACAGGCGTAATCCGCTTTGTGGGGCTGCCTTTAACACGGACTTGAATATAATAAGCCAGACAGGGCAGATTTAACTTTGATCTCTAATCAGATGCGTATTTTCTGTGGTTTTATCTCTCTCAGGTTCTCCAAGGCCTGGACTACCTGCACACAAAGTGTCAGATCATCCACACGGACATCAAGCCCGAGAACATCCTAATGAGTGTTTATGAGCCTTATGTCCGAAAACTTGCAGCTGAAGCCACAGAATGGCAGCGGGCTGGGGCGCCCCCCCCCCTCCGGTTCAGCGAGTATGACCCACACTTGCGCACGCATGTAAGCATAGCTTCGTTAAATCGTGTACTCATCCAGTCTTTTCCTTTCAGTAAGCACAGCACCAGCTCCAAAACAGGTATGGACCTCTAATTACTCACTTTGTACCATTTTATGCCCTATTAGCAAATCCAAACGTGAGCTCCTTTAATTTATTTTACATACCTTTGCTAGACTGTGAAAATGTCCAAGAACAAGAAAAAGAAGTTAAAAAAGAAGCAAAAGCGTCAGGCAGAGCTACTGGAAAAGTGCATCATGGACCTGGAGGAGATGGAGAAGACCACAGAAACACGAGAGGACGACGAAGAAGACGAGGAGCCACAATCTCCGAAGGGACGAGTCTGCGCTCCTCTCCGACAGGTGTCCCTCCAGGAGATAGGACATGAAGAAACGGAGGGTAAGAAACCAGGATCAAAGGACTCATGTGCCAGGATGGATGTTGGTGGTATTTTATCAGTAGTTTTTATTGATTTAAGCATTTATTATACAAATACCATCCACTTATATTACCAAAACACAGATGTGACTGTTATGTGGAATGAAGTTACACACACAGTGTGTATGGAAACGGCTGTAAGACACAGCTCTGGTTGCAAAGTGGTGGAACAGGCCACCGGTTATAATTAGAGCAGAGCTGTTCCTCTTGTTTCTTTGTGTACACACCTTTCACAGCCTAACATGCCTAACTCACACTCACTCTTCTCTGCATTACCTGTTGTTCTTTTTCTTTAGCTCAAATGTCACTCTGACTAAAGCGTGCGCTTATGAAATTGAAATAAATGGAATAGTCATGTTCTTCAGAGTAACACACCCCGAGATTCGTTAATGCACTTGAATTAACGAATTTAGATTACGATATGTTACAATAACATGCAAACTCCACTCAGAAAAGTCCATGTTCTCCTGGGGACTCAGACCCTCCTTGCTGTAAGGCAATGGGGCTAACCACCACACCACCGTGCCGTCCTCAGAAAGAAAGAATAACCTTTTCTCCAAATTTTCAGAGAGCAGTCTGAATGCAGATCATGTGAGGCTGGAACCAGATGAAGTGGCCGAGGCCAACTGCAACGGCCATGTGGATTCGGAGCAGAGGCAGTCCTACTGGAGGACTGAAGACCGACACAATGGTAATGCCGACTCTCCAGAGGAGCAGCGAAAAGTGCCCCCAGTCCACCCCATGTGCAACGGTGTGGATTCTACAGACTTCAATGAGTTGTACGATGAGACTGAAGGCATTGGAGTTAATGAGGAACGCTTCCCAGCCAGGCTGGATGAAGGAGAACTGGAAGAAAGCATTTTGCAGGAGGCGGGCGAGGACGAGGCCGACTGTCATTACAGAAACCAGGAGAGCCCGGGAAACGGTCAGTCAGACGGAATCCGTCCATCTGAAGAACTTTTAAAGGCCGAATTAAACTTTTCTCCCACTCTGAACTGAACTTGAAATTTTGATATCTTTGTATATTTCTTCCTTTTGTTCCGTAGGCAAGCAGACGGCAGGATCCTTACTGGTTAACCCTCTTGAACCAGTCAATGCAGACAAGATCAAGGTCAAGATTGCAGATTTGGGAAATGCCTGCTGGGTGGTGAGTAGGCTGCTAATGACCTGAGGGATTTCCTGATTAGGGACAGAGACCTTCAGCTTGGGACAGATACATTGTAATCTGCATACCGAAATAGAAATGCTTCAGTGCAGCAACTTTTATGTGCTGCATTGACTTTAGTTTTGTATTGAATTGGCACCAGAGCACAGTAGGACCAGACAGAAGTAAAACTAACTTGTTTAATGTGACATTTGGCATTCTTCTCTCTTTTAAAAAGGATGCAATCTGCTGTGATTTTTAAACATTCAATTCTTCTTCTCCGTTCCACTCTTTCAGCACAAGCACTTTACAGAGGACATCCAGACTCGACAGTACCGCTCTTTAGAGGTGCTCATTGGATCTGGATACAGCACACCAGCAGACATATGGAGCACAGCCTGTATGGTGAGATAATACGCTGTGGTTGGTTGAAATGAAGGCAAAGCATTAAATGTTTCACTTTACAAGTTGCTGGTAGCTGCTGCTTAATTTTGAGTGCCATAATGACAATTTTTTTCTGCTGGAATTGGGAAAATAGGTTTTCTTTGGCAAGAGCTGAAAGAATTTATTCAAACTAAACAATACAAACTGATTTTGCTCACAGCCCAATTTTCACCTCCAGCATCTAAAAACCTCTTTATGGAATAATAAACAATTCGACGATACCACGTGAGCATAATTAAAGAAAGAAAAGGGAAAAAGACACAAAAAAATAATTGCAGACATCTGTAGAGCTCTTTTGTTTCTAGTGATTGTATCTTCCTCCTAGTTAGTTTTCTAAAACCAGGCTGCAGGTAATTTATCTCCAAATATGTCATAATCATTTGTTTGCTGTATAATCATCAGGATATATTCCTCTAGATGAGGGTAATAACATCTTTATATCAAGCCAATGTTTGCCCAGGTGTAGTTTGTAAATGTGTTTAGGATTGAACTGACTGGCCACTGTCTACGCTCACCCTGAGCTTTGTTATTGACCTAATTTATCAGAGAAGTTGCTTAAAAAACACAATGAAACTATAATTCAGTGTGGCAGGTAAGCAGATGGCTGTGTGCTGTGCCCCCCTTTGTTTTTGATGATTATGTTGTTTCTTTAGGCCTTTGAGCTTGCCACTGGGGACTACTTGTTTGAACCTCATTCTGGGGAGGACTATTCAAGGGATGAAGGTATTGCTGGATCTTCCTCTTCCTGTCCTCTTTAAGTTTTATCCACCATTTAATTACACACCATTAATCCTCAAAGCTACGTTTTGTCGAGGTCCGGCTGTGCATGCTTCACTGTTCAGAGCCAGTTAGTGTGGGTAGTCGACCTTTGCAGCTATAGCTACTGTGAAAACCACCAAGTGTTTGTCATGATAATTTGACTCTGACTTACTGTCATTTTGATTTATTTGAAATTATATAGACACCTTATGACTTTCACAGTAGGAAAATCACAAACTTCGCTCCAACTTGTTGTGCACTTTGCACAATAAGTTGCAGTGATCTTTGCTTTGAACTTTAACAATGTTACTGCGTAGATAAGCCCTTCAGATGGTCTCTGAAATGGAAGAAAAATTGTGAACCTGTAATCATGTGGTGAATTATGTCAGTATTCCTGGGTTTATTTCCTAAAATGTCAAAACGTCTTCACTTATACGGGGCCATCTCTTCCCTTCCTCACTCTCCCTTCATCCGCTCCTCACTCACGTCCTTGTTTCCTTCCTTACGTCCTCGCACTGTACAGGTGCCTGGTTGCTGCTTTTGTTGAAGTTGCTGCTCCAACTTGTTTCTGCCGCTCTAAGTAAGGCATGGTGCTGACATTCAGGCTTCAGTGAGCTGTGACGCGGCCACTTTATTGAAAGCACATTAACTTATTAATCAAGCGCTTCTCTTTTCTCACGCTGTCTCTAATTCAGAGTTAATATCACCATCTCTCAACATTCATTGTATTTATTTATTATTTTCCTCATAAGTTGAAGTTACATGTTTTTGGCATATAAACCTTTTTTTTCCACCATGCATTACTTGGTCATCGTCATCCATTCGTTTTTTTTCTAATAAACTGTTCCATCCCTGCCGTCTCCTCTCCAAACTTTCCCTGGGCCTCCCCGTCTTCTCTCTCCTCCTATGATGTGCCTCATTTCCAGACCACCTTGCGCTCGTTATTGAGTTGCTCGGTAAAATCCCTCGCCACTATGTGTTGAATGGGAAATACTCACAGGAATACTTCAACAAGAGAGGTATGCCACCCCTCAGTCTGCGGCTCACTCTGGGAAAGGTGGATGGAGGGTAAAGGGAGAGCACAATGACCCAGAGTAGTTGCTTCTGTCTTCAGGCCATGGGGTTTAATCATAAACCCGGACCAGAAAATGTTTTTGTGCAGAGCCACCAGGCATTGACTCGGGTGTCAGTAGTTCTGCCAAAGACCAGCAGTCAGAAGTTGATACAGTTCCTCCAAATTTATCTTTAATTGTTTGGCTACATTCTTGAATTTGAGTCGATCCCTTTTTTTCTGATCATCTTACAGCTTGGATCTGATTTCAGAAATGTTATGAGATTTGGTATAAAAGAAATGTGAGGAAAAATAGCATTTTGCAGTGGTATTTCTGCTCTTTCTAATCTCATGTGGTTGACATTTGCGTAAGAAAAATGAGCGTCTCCCCCCCGAACTAAAACCCTGCAGTGATGCAGGATGCAGAGTGGAAGTTTGTCTCTATGTTGATACGTGAACTGGGTTTACTTTCCACAGATATTCACGTTTCAGCATGTCTTAGATCAGTCAGGCCCCCAAAAATATTACTTTTGATTTTCAAACATTTGCTCCAATTAGTTTAAATGAGATCCCTATAGTGATATTTTAAAAGCTGGGGAGATGGTGTTCATTGTTCAGTCGGCAGGTTGCTGATTCAATTCACAGCTTCAGTCAGATGTTTTAAAATTTAAACGGTTACGTTGGCACACATGAAGTCTACTGCGTATGAGTGAGTAACCAACGAATAGCAATAAGGCAGCTTTCTACCCGGTGGCTGCATCGAAACAACTGAGTCTTTGATGAAAGGCTGGAAGACGTTCAGCTTTTTTAATGCCTGGTGGCCTTGTTTAAACATTTCAAGTCTGAAAAGATTCTGTGCTGTCAGCTGGACCCTTGGCTCCCTCAGCCCTCCACGCTCACACCCAGAGTGGGCCTGTGACCTCCACACACTCTGATCAATCTGTTGTCTTGTCTTCTCTCCTCCTGCACCCATCTGCTGTATAGATCATATAGCACTGATCATTGAGCTACTGGGGAGTGTCCCACGCAAACTCATTATTACCGGCAAATATTCCAAGGATTTTTTCACCAAGAAAGGTAAAAAATGATAATTATATAAAGTGTGTAAAAGTCTAAAGTAGCGATTTTTTTCTTTTTCTTGTGTAGGCTTAGATCATGTTATGAGTACACTGGAGAAATAACTATACTGACACAGCTAGAATCTTCCACATTAGTTTTTTCATGTAAAGATTGTGTATATAAAAGGCATTCTCAGAGGTGGGTACCTGGCCTTTAAAGGGAGGAAGAAGTTGGGCGGAGTTGCTGCATTGCTCTCTGAGATGGCGCCGTGTGTTTGCCTGGCCTGCAGGTGATTTGAAACACATCACCAAGCTGAAGCCGTGGGGCCTGCTGGAGGTGCTGGTGGACAAGTACGAGTGGCCCCGCGAGGAGGCGGAGTGCTTCGCCGATTTCCTGCTTCCCATGCTGGAGCTGGTCCCCGAGAAGAGAGCCACGGCCGCAGAGTGCTTGCGCCACCCCTGGCTCGCCCTCTAGTGGACACTTCCAGCCGTTATACCCCCCTCCCCTTCCCTCCCGCGTTCTGAAGAGACTGCAACAGATCACTTTCCACTTTGGGCATATCAGATGAATATTTATTTCTTGTTTTGTTTAATTGTTTTTTGGATTTCATATGTTGTTAGTGTTGAGCGATTGTCTCACTGTGCATTTGCTTTGTATTTGTTTGTTGCTCCTCTGGTGTGGCGACGTCAGGAATCCAGTGGATTTTTGTGACCTCGTGGTCATGTTGGCTCCAGCTCCTGCACCCGATTCAACCACCAAGCTAACCCGTCATTGTACTGCTAGTGACTCATCCTTATTTGTTACACTCCTGCACTAAAACTCAAACAAATTAAGGATATGTAGCCTTTAATTTTTGTCCCCTTAAAAAGGATTTGCTCTCACTTCTTCCTCCTACTTTTTCATTAGTGCTGTGTTCTTTTATAATGAGTTATTTTATCTTATAGCACACATGTAAGGTAAAAATTTTGTATTTGTAAAGTAGGCGTAGGAAGTTGCACACTGGGCTGACATTTACACTGACTGTGGTACCATTAATGACGTTTCTCCAGAGAGACTCTCTGGAGTTATACTGACACTGTCTGATGAGGTAGGTCATATTTAGCCATAACAAATCCATTTTCACCTGGTATTTAGTGGGCAGTTAATAATAAATGAGAGCTTTCATTCTCATGGGAGGCTGGTATTCTCATAAACCTATTATTATTCAGGTATGTAGTGTTCAAAGGTTAAAACAAGACAAAAGTAAAAGCCCAACTTAAAGAAAAAAGAGAAAACAAGCTGTATATATCTGTACCAAAGAGTTTGCCTTTATGTATATTACAGTTATGTACAGTTTTTAACAAATCTTATATCTTAGCTAAAATTATTTAGCTGGGTAGCTGTGTTTTAATAAAGTGTATGAAAGGTGTTTGAGCTCAGTTGTATGTTTGGCCAGCTGTTCAATAATGTCACTGTTTTTACCATAGAGATGGTGGGATCTGATGTTATATAATGGTGTCACAAACTGATCATATCAAAGTAACCTATGTCATCTGTTGAGACCTAAAGGTAAAAGCTAAGATTTCCATTAGTGTCACATTCAAGAACATAGACTTTGTGTGAGCTGTTGCTTTAAAAACCTGTACAACACACCAATAAAACAGATTTTCATACATGACATTATTAACCCTGTGAACTTCTTTATTTGAACTCCGGGGCTGTTTATTTTAACACAGACGATGGAAAGGTTAATTGGTTGAAATGACGAGACATTTCAGTGTGGGGGTCTGAGGGTCCATACATCCATCAGGGGTTTCCTGTAGAGGAGAAGAAAGTGTAAATGAGTCGATGGGACCTCAGAAACTGCTGACCTTGCAACAAAAGTTAAAAACTAGTTATTCCGAGTAGGGAGCAGAGGCACTGCGGGCTGATACATATAGACTGCTTTTAGGGGGAAATGGTTTCGATATGTGTTGCATAAAATGGAGAACTGAGCAAAAAATGTTCAAAATATGCATGCATAGATACATCAGTTATATACTGGCTGGTACTTTAAGTCCTAAGTGCAATCTGCCTGCCAGCGCATAGGGAAGCAGCTGAGGTTTATCTGGTTGTGTTGCATTGGCTTTGCCCTGAAACTGATGATTATTTAGAATATATTTTGGCCATGTTATCACTGAATAACTTGTAATTCTTGAACAGTGTGAGAAAAGTTTTTGAGTGCATTCATTCTCACCACTTATTGACTTATAGGGGGTCTTTTTCAACATTGAAGGTAGCAGGTAGCCCAATTTAGAGCTTTCTGCTCACAAGCCTTGCTGTTTTAATACATAGTGACTGTGGATCGACATTGTCATGCTGAAGTAACCAAGGGCTTTCTCTGACAAAGATGAAATTTGGATGGCAGCTCAGGTTGTTCCAAACCTCAATATGCTGTTTGGAATTAATGGTGTTTTAACAGCTGTGCAAGTTGCCCATGCCATGTTTATTAATGTGGTTTGGGGGGACATTATGCATGGAGAGTGCCTCCTCTCTTGCCCAGAGGAAATGTGTCCATCACATAAATAATGTCCATGAATTCCAACAAGAATGTCTTTTTTTTTATTTTCATGGAACCTCAGGAGAGTTTAAGCCCCATGAGGCAGCAGAGTTTCTGTATGTTCAGTATTAGAACTGAGCTGACTGACAGGGGCTTTTATTGTTCCTGAGTTTCAGTCAGTAAGTCAGTCATTGTAATAGTGGTCCATATAGACTTGGACACCGCTTCCCCATTTTCACTCCTAAAAGACTGTCTTTTTCATGCTCTTTGTGTACCTACACATAATGAAAATTAATCGAAATACTTGTGAGATGTTCCAGAAAGTGATATTGTTTTTCTTTTTCGCACAACTGATTTTTTTTGTGCTCTTGTAGAATGAGTTAAAAACCACTGATTACTGGTCATAGTTTAGAGAAGTTATCTAATTTATATTAGCTATGGAACTCAAAAGCTCAGGGAATAATTTGTAATAGAATCTGACTGAGAGGTCCTAAACAAACATTAACTTGACCTTTAGGTTTGATTGTAAGGTGTAAAAGTTCAGAAATATAGCTGGTTGCTGATTGGTAATTACTGCTGCCAAACCTAAATGGGTTCTGCTAAATGACATCTGTTCAATGCATCTGTTCTTAATGATTATTCTGCTGTAACACATAAACATGTTTGAGGTGGGAAGGATTTCCTGCCACTCTTATGAATGCTTTTATCCAGCCACCACCCTCACCTGCTCCGTCCACCTCAAAGTCATCTGGCAGCAGTTTGTCCTGCCGGTTGCCGAGGGTAAAGGAGAGGAATGCCAGGAGGAGGGCGTCCAGAATGCTGATTATGGCCAGGATGTAGGCCCAGCGCACTGTGCAGTTTCCCAGGCTGTACTTATCTGTCCTCTGACCACACATCTGCTTCACCTCTGGAGCGTCCCAGCCGTCCGGATAGATCATGCAGCCCATCACCATCAGCGCAGCTGCAGAAGGGGGGACACGGATACAGGATAGCCTTTCTTAATACCACATCTCTGCCTTAACGTTGTTATGTTGTTGTGGATGAGGCTCATGGCAGCCCCCAGTGCAGGATAACACGTAAAGTATCCCCGTTAAGGAAAAAATATGCTCAAAGACATTTGTATGTTGTGCTGATATTTAAGCTGCTAAGTACTAAACACTTTTCATCCGGTTGATGATGTGTTCCATTTCTCACAGAATCTGTCAGGTACAGGCTTAGACCATGGATGATTTCATTGGCTCTGGTAAATTTCTTGTGTAGGTTTGTATCAGTTAACACCGCAGCAACACCTGATCGTGTTACATGTAACTAATCCACCAGCAGAGGTGTCAGAGTCTGGGCTGACACCATATCCCCTTGTGAGCTTCGAAACTGAAGAACACATTGAATACAGCAGCCCATAATGCCTGAAACCAGAGAGGTGTGAAAGTGGCTGATGACAGAATCCCCTTATAGACTTTTTCCCCCCAGAGTTTTGGTGTATGCGTAGTGATAAAAGTACAGTAAAGGAGGAAATGATGTGATCTGTTTTTTGGGCCACTATTTAACCCCGATGATCAGTGTTCCCCTTTAAACTGTCACTGTGAGTCCACATAGTTCTCAAAAAACAGACCTGCGGAGAATGACTGGCATATAGCACAGTGTTCACGCCTTCATAGGAAGATACGAAGCACAATTCAACCCCCAAATGTCGACTGTCACAGGGTAATCGGTCCAGAGTGGACAATTTCACAGTGTTATAGAATATCCTAACATCATTTGGCTGAATTAAATCTTGCTAATAAAAAAAGAATAAGGCACAGAAGTCACTGAGAATATCAGTGAACCCCGAAACACTGACCTGAGGCCAGCTGCATCCAGGCGCAGATCTTGTAGACGTTTCCTGCGTTGCAGAAGAAGAACAGGCTGAAGCTCACCATGGTGCCCACCACCAGCAGCATGGAGGTCCCCACGAAGAACATGGCAGTCCTGAAGGCCGGGGACGGGATGGAGTTGAAGTCCAAGATGCTTCCCTTGCACGTGAGCTCCGAGGTGAGCGCGTTGCCGATGCAGTAGTGGAAGAGGCCGAAGTAGCCGGCCTGCGGCGTGTCGACACTGTCCCCAATCCAGTAGGGCTGGATGAAGACCACCACGGTGATGATGACGAAGCAGATGGTGAACACGGCCCACATGACGCCAATGGCTCGCGAGTTCCTCACGTAGTTGGTGTGGTAGATTTTGGCCGCCTCCTGGGCTGGAAGCAGGTCCATGACAGCAAATAAAGAAAAAACAAACTAACAAACTTGTGTTGCACTTTAAAAAAATGTTCCCAAATGCTCCCTGTCTTCACTTTGTTTGTTCAACCCTTTGTTGGGAGCTGCCTCCATTTCTGTCCAGGTGTTGGGACGCCTGGCCCCGGAGCATCTCTGTGGGCTGCTCAGACCTGGATCAGGATTCAGCACCCTGGACAGCAGCCCTACCGGCCCACGTCACACTCATGTTACCTCTGTTGCTACCCGCCCCTGACAGCACGGGAGGAACAGAGTCACCACTAACTAACCAACCACCATTTCAACTTCAATGTGTTTTTGTGTGAGCCTGTTTTAGTTCAGGTTTGCATGTCAGCTACAGCATCTGAGTATCAGGGGAAGTAGAAATACTTGTTACTGTAAGAAGACATTTACATTAAATGCATTCAAATTCATTTAGGTAACAGAATGTAATAATTGTTCTATTTCAGATCATTACCATTTATGATTTAAGGAGAGTTATACCTCATGTTTTTGAGGAATAGCAAAGGTCCACTTTCTTTGTTTGTCACTTTCTTTACACAAAAAGATTGTGTGACTTGTGCTTTCACTATTTTTGTCTTTTTGCAGTCCTGTTCTTGCACTGTTGGAGTAATAATCAGTACATTTTATGCACATTGGGCTTTATTTCCATTGAATAATGTGTCTTTCTATCACTTCTCCAAAATGACGCCCCCTTCAAAAACAGATTTGCTGATGCACAGGGAACTTGGGATAAAGTTTTGCTGATATTGAATTGACAATCTTCCCATCTTAGACTTCTTACTGAAGGGCTGCCCATGTGAAAAAAAAACAACCCACTGACAGTTATGGGAACACAGTAAGGAGTTTACATGGACGGACAGTAAGGGGTGATAATGCAGATAGATTATTGCATTTGATTGTTGCTGAAGGCTTTGAGAGTTCAGCTGCACTGAGGGCGCCAAGCAACAGGGAAGTCTGGCTAGGACACTGACATTTCACACATGTGGGAAGCTTCCAAGTTGCACACAACTCTGTAACTCTCAGTGCCAAAGCAATCTTTGTGGACATTGTGCTCTCTCACTTAATGTTGATCATAGGACTTGTCTAATTTAATCTGAGGTTGGTAAATTACCAAATCTAACAGCCGGAATCACAAATCTCTTTTTCAGCTGCCCCATTCTGTAAATGATCATTACTGGACCAATATTATAGTTTGGGATAACGACTTTGGCTGCAAGCTGACAGGAGCAGCCGGACAAAGCATGCTACCATCTGTGCATTTCATCCTCCGGTAAGAGCTGGTCACAAGGAGCCTCTGTGTTTTGCAAAGTGTTCCAGTATTCCCAGATCTTTGATGGTCCCCTGAGGCTCAGGAGCTGCTGGTTTGGGTTGTATTAGGAAAGAAGACACCAGCTCTGCCATAGAAAGGATAGCATAGAGATTAATATTAAAATTGAAATGGAAGGACCATTTCAATTCGGTTAAAGGTGAAGAATATGGTCAGGTTTTCATACAGGTTTCATGAAATAATGATGCCTTGTACTGACATGGGCAATTGGCAAAATCTAAAGCCAACCATGGTAATGAATATTAAGATGAATTCATGAACATTTTCCAGAGCAGTGCTGCTGCATATTAGCTCCCACATTAACTTAAATTCAGTTTAGATTCCATCCACAACAACAACTATTTGGGGGCTGTTAACATTTTGAAAATGTGTCCATTACAGTTGGGTTCAAATGTCAATGTAAGGATCAAGCTTCACCTTATCACACTCTGGGGAAATTTTCACTCTCGGATACATCACAAAATGGAAACGCCATTTCTCTGACAGGATGACTCATTGTTTGCAATGGCTTTGCAATCCCTCTGCTGCCTGACACTC